TTTGTGTTGGCATATTGTTCGATCTGTAGTTCGAGACAATATTTCTCTCAACACTTTATAATCTTTCTAGACTCTTCAGGAGTCGCAATTTAATGTCATCGACTTTTCAGGAGTTCTAATTTAATGTTATTGACTCTTGCAAGAGATTTTAGTATGTTGCAACAATATCATAATGATAGTACTCATTAAGGCAATTTATACAATGCATTGGTATTGAGTACATAATTCATGCTTTACCCTTCCAGGGCTTATTTCAAGCAATTCGAATCCTTCAGTTCATGATACATTTCCTTTGGAATATATACAAAACAATTTGCTCCCATGTATACTTGAGGGATTTACTTATGGAGATATAATGTGGGTGACTCACAACCCTTCATATATAATTCTTCATTCATATGAACTCGTTTACAAGAGTATAATTTCATGTTTCAATTAGTAACCTTATGTCATATCATGTGAGTGTATTTCACCATATTACAAATGCCCATATGTAACCTTCTAGGTTCAACATCTTTTGGTTATTTGTATTGTATTCAAGTATATAGGTCTATTTTTCCACGTTCTTACAAAATTGTAATGGAATTGCATTTCTCCATCTTTGAGCAATAATTTTTCCTTTCACGAAAAGAAGAACGAGACTCAATATCAACACAGCTCATTTGATGAATTTAGTAGTTACTTGTAAAAACCAAAATTATCATTGGTTATCATCAATCTGTGATCCCATATTCTCATGTACATGCGCATGCATAAAAACTTTTCATTTCTTTAGGTATCCATTGCCTCTTCAAGGGCATTATAATATCTTTCTCAGGATAGTCATAATTTAGATAATGTGGATCGTAACCTCTTCTGGAGCGTTATAGAGCTTGGATTATAACCTCCTTTAGAGCATTATACTATCTCTCCTAGGAGAGTCAACATTCCCATGTCCGTAGATTGTTCTTTCTGGGACATGTATCCATGTGGCAACTGTCATACTTCTGACATGCAACAATTATGCTTTGAGAATGAAATAATTTAGTAGTGCCATATTCTTCTTCTTTCGAATGACCGAACATTTTGAGTTTGAGAGTTTGCCACGCTTCAGGCATGCAACAGATAACTCATTTACTGCCTCATTATTTTGTCCAACAGAGACATCAATTTTTGTAGGCACATTTGTAGCAAGTATATGTGATGTTATCACTTTCGTTGCATAATTAAATGCATCTGGCATTTGACTTGCATATTTTTGCATCATTTAATCATTTTCACTTCGTTTTTATATTAATTGCTTCATGAATCAAAATAAGACAAATTCTCTTCATTCTTCTGGAACGGTCTTTTCTCATCATTCTTCTGGAATGATATTTTCTCATCGTTCTTCTGGAATGATGTTATTTTCTCCCCTTAATGGCACGAAAATTGTCTTATCAAAATCATAGTCTGCAAATCATGCGGTAAATATATCCCCAGTCAAGGGTTTCAAATACTGAATGATAGATGGAGAATCAAATCTAACATAAATTCCTAGTTTGTATCGATGCCTTATTTTAGTACGTTATAACAGTGCACTAGGCACACATATAACATAACCAAAAACTTGTAAATGTGTAATGTTTGGCTGGTGCCTAAACACGAATTGTACTGAGAAATATTAATGGTTGGCAACTAGTCTCAACCGAGCTTAATAATAAATTATGTAAAATGGTATGTCCCTATCTTGCAATTTCTTTTTCATGAGCAAGGCGCAGGCAATCAATTTCATTCGCTTAATAAATACTTCTGCTTAATCATTTTGAGTTTGAACATGAGGAACATGGTGTTCAATATCAATGCCCAATGACATGCAATAATTATCAAAACTTTGAGATGTAAACGCTCCAGCAAATAAGCATTATATCATCATTTACATAAATCAAGGAACTTCTAGTCCTTATTTAATAGCTTATGGATTGGAATTCTCATGGCCTTTATTACAATTACGTTATGGCACTTCGGCTCTTCAAACTTAAGATACTCATCAAGGAACTTCATGTCCAATCTTGAGGATCTATGGACTTCATCCTAATCTTTTTGCATGATGAAACTTCGGGTTTAATCATTTTAGGTGATGAAGATCAAGAAACTTCAGGTTCTTATCTGATTAAGAAACTTTGGGTCAAGTATGTACTCATCGTAACAAAAAGAAGTATAATAAATAAATTAAAGCAATAGGCGGTAATATGTACTCATCGTAACAAAAAGAAATACAATAAATAAATTAAAGCAATAGGCGGTAATTCCAGCCATAGTAAATAAATTGTTTTTCAGTAAATAAAGCTTGTGACAAGGGCTTTAATTCAGCACCATTCACATAAATTTCAAAGTTTTAAAGCAAAGGGTAATAATTCTACCCATTGTAAATAAACATAATTTGTGATAGGGTTTTAAATCAACACCATGCACATAAATATGCCAAAACAGAAAAATGTAATGATTAAGTCCCCATCTTTTGATTTTTCCTTTTTTTTTCTTGGTCTGCCACTTTCTTTTGTATCATTCTTTTTTTTTTTGGTCATTTCACAACTTTAAGTCCCTTTAGTTACTCAGGAAGTAATAGTAACAATAAGTTCCAATTGATGTTCCTTCTCCGTGAGTTTTGAAAAAGTCGAAACAGTTCCCATAAGTTTTGGAGTCAAGAGTGTCTCCAACTTATGAGACAATCAAATTGTTAGATTTAGCTCAAAATTTAGTATGATATGGATAAGAGGATACCGAACAACTTTCGTGAAGAAACAATTTTGATCTGAGATACCAAAATAGAGTTTTGGTACTCATAAGGTGTATGTCCAATTTTTTGCAGAAGTTGGAAACTGGTTTGGCATTTTTAGGCATTTGCGATGATCGCATTGTTGGAATTTTCTAAAAATTTGATATTATAGATACTAGGCGGACGAACAACTTTGAAGAAAAAAGTATTTCAATCCGAGGTATGCAAGTTGGAATTCCGAGGCGGTTTTCATGGCTGTCAGATTCTCTACGAATTTTGAGTTTGTACTCCTTTGCTTTTGCAAACGATGATATACAGTCATACAACAATATATATATTTGCTTCAAGAAAATCAGTAGTACAAAGATTTTAGGATGAAATGAAAGGATTTTCTTATTTGTGAGATTCCAGGCGACAGAGGTGAACATGATTTGTGGGTTTGTGTTTTCCAATGACACGAGAGCTTCTCGTGCTGATAACGTATTGTAAAATTGATGGTGTGTGCAGTGAAATAAATAAACAAGACACAAAATTTACGATGTTACTCTACAGTCAGTGTGACTGGAGTACGTCCTCGGGGCAGTAGTGATGCTTTCATTTATAATCTGAAATAATAATATTACAAATATAACTCTCTCTATTCTCTCCTCTCTTTTTCCTCTCTTTGCCATGAGCCTTATGGCTTTCTCTCTTCCATTCTTTTCTTCTCTTTTTATTCTCCTCGTATCACCTTTGATTTATAGGCAAAGCAGGAGCACCAAAAGCAAGCAGTGTCAGCTCCTAGTGGAAGGACATGTAGAGTGGGATGAATGGGATGTAGTGGGTTGGTCATCCACACATTGAATGACTCATAATATTATAACACAAAAAGTATTTATATTTTAATGGTATACAGTATGTCCTACATTTATTTAATTTTTAATACTCCAGACTACTCAACACTACATAAAATAAATGTGAAAATTGGATTATCAAAGAAATACTTTTTTTTTTCTTCTTTACTAATTTAATGAATATAAAACTGAAGTATTGAAGACTTACCCGTCCTACGTGCTCGATACTACGACTTCAAAATCCAAACCTCACTCCATACTACCCACGCCCTTTTTTATCATTTACAAATTTTTCTCAATTTTAAATCGTAAAAATAAGTAAATTAAAAAAAAATTAGTGGACAAAAATTACTATATATATATAAAAGAGAACTTTCATGAAAATGTTTTGGACTAAGTTTATCTTAATAAAAAAACTATGCTATAACTTTATTTAATAAAAAAACTTAAATTTTAATGAAAAATGCTTAAATTTTAATGAAAAAGACAAAAAAAAACTTAAGTTTTAATAAAAACAGACATAATTTTAATATTTAAAAAAAAAGACTCGCTGACCTGCGCATCTTTCACACAAACTGTTTATGAAACTTAATGGTACTACACTGTTTATGAAACTTAACAGTACTACACTGCTTATGAAACTTTCTACACTATTTATGAAACTTAACAATACTACACTGCTTATGAAACTTTCTACACTGTTTATGAAACTTAACAATACTATATTGTTTATGAAACTTAACGGTAGATGCTCATCCCAAATTTTCAAGTTCTTTCACCAGAATGCAATAAAAAAGATTTAAAAAAAAACATGATAGAGATCAACGTCCACACCGTTAAAGTCGTGCATGACTAATAGCTCAATACCACAATACCATTATTGGAAAAATGGGTGATGAGTCCAATGATGTTGTCAATGATATTGCCCCACCCTACCCCCAACCATCCCAACCCACATCTAATTGACTCCTTCCCAAATCCTAATCATACCGCCCTAGATGTGGTTCTGAATCGAATGGAACACATTTCAATTTAAAATTTTAATTTTAGAGAAATAATATATGCTTGAATTATGTCAAGGAGTTATGCAACTGAAGGATTGGTTGGGTATTATTTGCATGCGCCTTTAGTTAAGTTTTTTATGTTTTTTGTTTTTTATTTCTTTTCTCTTGTTCTTATCATTAAATAAAAATGATAACTCGAGGTTTTGTAGTCTCTGCACTGTTGTAGATTGCCATGAAACTCAACCCAAAAATGTGATAAGCCCAAAACTCTGCCCAGCAACAACGTGTAGGTTCTAGATTACTCTACATATAAAGAGAAACGTGCCAACCATCTACAGCTACCACGCACAGCACAGCTTGGCGGGTCATGCTGATGTGTATATATATGTTGCAACGTGCAAGGCAAACTTTAGGGTTTTATAACTTCACACTCAGCATTTGTCCCACTTTTTCTAGTTTTATCTTTGCACGTGTGTGTGGCAATGGGTTTTCTCAGTAAAGTCTCTGAGCTTGGAGAGTGGCATCGTAGTAGTAAAAAGCTCAAAAAGAACAAGCAATTGCAGGTATCTGCTACTATATTCCCACTTCTTCGTATAGTTTTTTGCTTCATCGTTTGCAAGGGCGATAGTTAGAAGGGGAGAATCGAACACGATGCTCGAGTACGTGAGATACTCTATATGTGGTCAATCGATGCATATACTTTTTTGTCTATTGTATAACTATAGTTGGAGAGGAAGAATCGAACATGATGCTTGAGTCGAAGATACTCTAATATGATGTATGTGTCTCTTTGTTTATGGTATTTTGGGTCATGTAATGAATATTATAAGCCCGACATAATATATTTTCTTTGATATAAGCGATCTTTTTACTATTACAAATTCACTTGCGCTTTAAAGTGCATGGAAAATATTCCTTAATAATTATTCCGTTTTTTCTAATTAATTGGACTCCTGTCACGAGTCTAATATTTATTGCCGATTCATCGGAATTTAGTTGTATTATTTTTTTATTATAAAAGAGAGATTAGATTCAGCAGTATATACTTGTAGCTCGTTCAATCACTGAACTAGCTCAAATCCCTAACCCCGGATCAGGATCCTCTCCTGAGCAGGTCTTCCTGATCAGGCCCATCGGATCGTTTAATTTTTATTTAACGGCTACAAACAGAGAGTGGAGCATCTTTAAAAATTATAATAATTATAATCGTTGGATAAAAATTAAACAGTTGGATAAGTCTGTTCAGGAGGATCCTCTCCATAGGATCCTGATCCCCTAACCCAACTATTTTTTTCAGCTACCCTTTACTTTTACTGCTTGTTTTCTCTTTTTCTCGCCGATGTATTTTATTTGTCAAAAAAAATAAAATTTTATCTATAACCGCACATTTTGTTTCTTTTTTTTTTTAAATTTATTTTTTACGTCAGACGGTGGAGATTAAAGTGAAGATGGACTGTGAAGGGTGCGAGAGAAGAGTGAAGAAATCCGTGCAAGGCATGAAAGGAGTCACGGAGGTTGAGGTGGACCCCAAGCAGAGCAAGCTCACTGTGATTGGCTATGTGGACCCCGATAAAGTGTTGCATCGTGTCAGGCATCGAACGGGGAAGAAGGCTGAGCTCTGGCCTTATGTGCCGTACGATGTCGTTCCGCATCCCTACGCCCCGGAGGCATATGACAGGAAGGCCCCACCTGGGTACGTGCGGAACGTGCTGGAGGATCCGGAGGCTTCGGCTCTCGCACGTGCAAGCTCCACTGAAGTGAAGTATACGACGGCGTTTAGTGACGAGAATCCAAATGCGTGTGTGGTCATGTAGTCTAATGATATGCTGAAATTCCAACTTGTAAATTTTGTAGCACTTTTTTGAATAGTCGCTGTAAAAGTTGCTTAAGCGTGTTTTGGAAATGAAAAAAGTTTGCCTGAAGTGTGAATAAAGCAGAGAGAGGGAAAATTTTGGGTCTTGTAGCACCATTGTGTGTTATCATCTCATATGAGTTCTCGTTGTTAGAACATCGTGTTGGAGGCGACAAACACTAGATAATTTTAACAGAGTTTTGATCACTGAACAACTTCGAAGATCGATGTGGAGGGCGATCGAAATTTTTTGAAATTGTTTACGGGAGAGTTTTGGGTGATGGAAACGACATGATTAGTGAAGAGGTAACTGTTGTCGAAAAACGAAAAAGTTCGAGTTGAAAAGAGAACTGTTGTTGACGGATCATTCATGACCCGATTTTAGTGTAAGTATTTTTTTAATTGATTTGGTTACAACCATTGAGATCAAAGTTATTGGGCTGAATTGGGATAGGCCCAAAGTTTTTTCATTTGTACTGTGGCTTAGGCCCAAAGTTATTGGGCTGAATTGGGATAGCACTTAAGTTGGACTGGGCTAATTATATTCCAAAAGAAAGCGGTCTGGGAGTGACAGACACGATCCCTTGCTTTACAGCCACACTTCGCGCACACGACGTCGTTTGATTTTGTGGTGTCCAAAACGCGTTGGCCAGCCAGAGGAATCCCTACTATAAATACCGCTCTTTGTGGTCTTAACTCACCATTTGGATCTGGGGCCTCTCTCTCTCTCGTTCCAAAGTTCTTCGCTCTCGAGCGATTCGCTCCCCTCCAAACCCTAACCCTAGATCGAGTTCCCTCCCTTTTTACTCAAAACTTTGTTTGCGTGCGGGACATTTGTGTTCCGAAACAAGGATCGAAACCCTAGCCGCAGTCGATTGCGAGCGAGGGTCCTCGTTCGAGATAGGGTTTGAGAAAAATCGAATTGTTTCGGACTGGATTTGCTTTGTGTGTTGGTTGGTTGATTTGCTGCAGTATCTCAAATGTCTCGGTGTTTTCCGTACCCTCCTCCTGGGTACGTGAAGAAGGGGATCTACGATGAGCCCCTGATCGATTCGATTAAGGTTTGTTGAGCAATCCTTGCTTTGTGGGTCTTTTGGATTTGTGCTCGACGTGTACTGTACGATTCGGTTCGTTAATTGATGTGTATGTTCAGCTCTCGTATGATCATATTTTGTGTAGATAAGAGAACCCATAAAATGCCCTGAAAAAAGTAAGAGCATAGAGAGAAAAATTTGGAAATGGGTGAATTCGAGAGCTGAATCGTGGGTTCTACAATCGATAACACTTTTTAGTTCCCCATAGAAACAAATAGAAGCCATTAATCGGTATAAAACGTAATTTCACTTCCTGGGTTTTTGTTGGATTGAGCCAATTCTGATTGGCCAAAATCGGAAACTTTGGCTTAGGTTTTGAGCCCCTGACATGAAATCTTGAGTGGTTGAGTGTTGTGTTTGCCACTGGACTCTAGTGTGTCCAGAAACTTTACATCCATTTGTGATAGAAATAGAAGCCGATGTTTTAATAAAATGCTATAGAAACACAAATTCCTGGCCTTCTTTTTGTAAGCTGAGCTGGTACTACTGTGTTGTAGCTTGTGTTCATGCTTGTGGCACATCAGTGTCTGTTGTCTTCCTTATAGGAATTGATAATGGTACTTTTAAAACCTTCCTAGGGCTTTAGCTGCGTGCTTGACGTGTGTGAGTGATGGTACCTGTTCTTGGTGCTAGGCTTCCACATTGTCGTGTTGTTTGAATCAAACAACGAAACATGATACTTTTACAGGCACTTCAGAGTCTTGTTAGGTTGGGATTGAGATTGTATTGTGTGGCAGATTAGTGAAAATGATTTGAGATGTGTGACGAGATTGCTTGACATTCTTGCATATGCATATGAGATGACTGATTTGAGATCGTCAAGTACATATTCAAGTATGTGCTGCCTACTTGAAGATCATTTTAGTTCTCACTGAGTTACATACTCAAGTTTGAAGTGGCTACACATAACCAAGAGTGAGTTTGCACTATAGTGGATTAGGAAGTGACCTTTGAATTCAGGTGGGTCCTTAGAAAGTCATAATGCTGAAAGGTTGCCAAGGTGAGACTTAAGCAATTACAGCTTTGAGTTTTGCACTATAGTAGATTTTTTGGGTAGAAGGTAGGGTCAGATATATAGATAGTAGATTTTAAGCAATTACAGTTTAGTTTATTTGACCAGTTATTTCATAGATGGTAGGGTCAGATAAATAGCACCTTTAGCCTGGTGTGTTCGGGTGTGGCATATGTTGTAGGATTCAAGTTCTCCTTTTCTTTTAGTGCAGTTTGCTTGAAGATGCCTTGGTGGTGGAAATGGTAGACACGTGAGACTCAAGACTGTCTTGTGCTTAAGGGCGTGGAGGTTCGAGTCCTCTCCAAGGCATAATTGGGAATCCATGTAGTTTTTGGTTCGAGTCCTCCTTGAGGCATAATTGCTTAAGTTTCACCTTAGTTGTTGGCTATGATTAGTGCTGATCTCTATGCAGCAAAGTTAGAGTGCAGTCTATAGTGTGTGTGAAAATTTTGATTTAGGTTTTTTGTTAGAATGCTGGCTGTGTTATGGATGTCATGAACATGTATAAAAATTCAATTATCTCTTGATACAGAGAAACAATAATACCCAACAATAATAACCAAAATTCTCATCATAGATCATCCGTATTGGTTGTGTCTTCAATGTTGATTTATTGATTTCCATTACTATCTAACATGTTTCTTCCTGATCTGAAGCTTCTGTCACTGTTCCTTCATATGTAACTGAAAATTGATCTTAAAAGGATGTTATGTTTTATCCAACAATTTGTGGTCTGCTTTGGCATGCTTGTTTTTGTGACAGTAATTTAAACTTTTCCAATGAGTTCAAAAGTTGATGGTTACCCTTGTTATTTGAAGCTCCAAAGAGAAGATGAGAAGGCCAAGAAGGAAAAGAAGAGGGAGAAAAAACGAGAGAAGAAAGAAAAGAAGGCTCGAGAAAATGGGGAGCCTGAAAATAAGAAGCACAGTCAGAAGAAAAGGCACAAAGATGAAAGGCATCAAGAAGACAAGAAAGGTACAGACCATGGAAAGAAGAGAAAACATGAAACGGAAAACCTTGACAAGAGTGGCCTTACTGAAGAACACGAGCAACCAGTTGGTTCCCAGAACTCTTCTGATAGCACCGTTGACAGCAACAAAAGGCAGAAGCAGGACTCTCCCCCTGATGGCAGGCATAATTCTGGTGAGTGCTCTTATGTTTCTTCCTTACTTGGGAGAAGGGTGTTTGCCTGTTGGGTTTGTTAGCTTCTCATGGGCACTGATATTCTTCCTTCAAAATGTATTATTATTTGAAGCAAGCATTCTTCGGATCCGGTTGCCTCTCCAAAGGCACAAAGATCCTGAACTGCTACCCAGAGAGGAGCAGCCTTGCCAGTTCCCTCTTAAAACGCACAAAGATCCAGTGGTGCTATCCAGAGAGAAACAACCTTGCCAGTTGCCTCTCCAAAAGCACAAGGATCGAGTAGTGCTACCCAAAGAGGAACAGCCTTGCCGGTTGTCTCTTCAGAGGAACAAAGATCCAGAAGCGCTACCCAGTCCTGAACAGCCTTGCCGGTTGTCTCTCCAAAGGCAAAAAGGTGCAGAAGTTCTATCCAGCCAGGAACAGCCTTCCAGGTTGTCTTTCCAAAGGCCTAAAGGTCCAGATGTTCTCCCAAGCCAGGAACAGCCTTCCCGGTTGTCACTTCAAAGGCCTAAAGGTCCAGAAGTGCTACCTAGCCAAGGACACCCTTGCTCTTCCTCAGGAAGGACAGATAATGCCTTTGTTGAAGGACTGCAAGAACCTGCTCCTAAACAAGGTGTGGATGAGGGACGGCATCCGTGCTCTACTTCTGGAAATGCTAGCAATGAACGCTCTTCCAGGCGTGGTAAAGAAAAACACCGAAAATCTGGCAGTGGTTCTTTTCCTTCACAATACAGAGAGCTAATTGAAAACTGGGTTCAACCTCCTCTCTCACAATGTCTTCCCGTGGATATCGACGATGAGGGATGGTTTGAGGCAAAGACAAAATGGAACTGTGGCGTTGAGAAACCTACAGTCGTCAGTGACAGCCTGAGCTACAGTGATGCAACGTCTTGGCCATGTGCTCGCCTCTTCCCTGAGTCCGATATATGTGCATTGCCATACACAGTACCGTTCTAAACCCCCGCCTGGAAAGTGGAAGATTGACAAGTGAGGAGCTGAAAGCGCCAGTGAACTTTGTATTTGATAGTTTTTCGGTACTGAAGGTGTGAAGAGGTTGTTTCCGGCTTTGGTGGTGTTGGTTTGCTTGCTCTCTCGTGCCTGGAGCGACTCCCGGTTGGGTTGAGAAAACAGCAACGGCAGAGATTTTAGGGAATGAAAAGATTTGTATTTTTTTTGTAGGGTAGATGGCATATTGATGTATCACAAACTTTGCAATTCTTTTGAAATCGATTATAATATCATTTCCTTTTTCTCAACTCTTTCGGCATTTCTCTATTGGTTTTTGGTAGTTGGCACTTTGGCTCTAATCGGGTACAACGTCGCTGCGTTAGATGTTTTAGGGCTGGTTTGGTATTGCTGTGCTTTGAAAAAGAACTGGTGTGAGAATAATCGGCTGTGCTGTGAGAATAAGCGGCTGTGAAATAAATCAGCAGAGTGTTTGGTAAACTTTTTTGTAAAGGTGCTTTTGAAAAAAAAAAGTCTGATAGTGGGTCTTTTCATTAAAGGAGCACTGTAGTTCTGTGTGCTTTGAAAAAAAACCAGTTTTCCAAAGCTACAAATTGCAGCTTCAGCTTTTTCCTTTGATTTCAGCTTATTCTCACAGCAACTTCCAAAATAAGCCATTTTTTTTAAGTTTACCAAACACCAAAAACACTTTCAGTTTTTTTTCATAGGAGCTTTTTTTCATAGGAGTTTTTTTTTTAAATCACATCAACCCCAAACTGGGGCTTAGTTTTGGGTGGTGCTATCCACATTTTGTTTTATATTTTACACATTTTTCACAATTTTCGACCATTAAAATGAACTGAAAATGATCAAAATGATAAAAATTGTGAAAGGTAAAAAATAGTGTGGGGTCAACGAAAAATCACATTAATAGGAAAATTTGTTGATCATATGGATTTTTAACCCATACATATTGGATTTTAACCGAGAAATGTCATTATTTGGGGATATTAGTAAACCATGCTTAACAACTCATGTAATTGTCGTTAAGTAGCAAATTCATTTGCAGTCATATTTGCATAAAGTGATTATATCAATTGAAATATATTTTGCCACTCATATTAATGTATGGTAGTATTTCTCTTAGCCGAACTCCCTCTTCCTCTAGTGTAAAAATACTGATATACTAAAAAAAATTGAAATATATTTTGGTAGAGATTGATATCTTGAATTAATTGCATAGGCCAAGGGGACTTGAGTTATATGATTTAAAATATCGACTATATATCTTTTTATATAAGTTGAATCGATGATATTGTTTTCAAATAGAAAGAGTCTTTCAATCCAAAAAATGAAAAAAGATTTAAAGATGCAGTCCAATTTCGTTCTAGAACTTCTCGAAATGTTTGGATTTCAGAATTTTAGATGTTAAATTTGATTCGGATGCACCAAAGTTGAAAAGTACAGAACCAAAAGTGCATCAAAGCACTTATGAAACTAGAGGATTTAAAGAAATTGACATGTGCAAGTGGTTTGTATCTCACTTGATTAAGGCCCCGTTTGGGATTGAGGTGATTTTAAAAAAAGTCACTGTGAAAAAAAGCTGAGGGTCATTTTTGTGTTTGGTAAACTGGAAAAAAATGGCTTATTTTGGAAGCTGCTGTGAGAATAAGCTGAAAATCAAAGGAAAAGCTGAAGCTGCTATTTGCTGCTTTGAAAAAAAACCAGTTTTTTCAAAGCACACGGAGCTACAGTGCTCCTTTAATGAAAGACACACTATCATCCTGTTTTTTTTTCCAAAAGCACTTTCACAAAAAAGTTTACCAAACACTCTACTGACTTTATTTCACAGCCGCTTATTCTCACAGCACAGCCGCTTATTCTCACAGCAGCTTTTTTTCAAAGCACAGCAATACCAAACCAGCCCTAAAACATCAATTCTTACACTTGACTTCCGAAGTTCCAATCTACGCTCGACTATTGTTTGTGTCAAGAAAAATCGGGCCGAATCGTGCTCGGCCCATTTAAATAAAGCCCAAAACGGCACGAGCCTGAATCACTGGTTACGTTTGGGCTGGCCCCTAACCAGTTTAACCGACCCATGATATCGGGTCCGGATCCAAACAGACCTCGAGTTGGACAGACAGTTGGACCTCGAGTTGGACAGACAGTTGGGGCCGAAACCAGTCTGGTCAAAACGCAACCGAGAGAGAGAGCTAGAGAGAGAGAGAGAGAGAGCTAGAGAGAGAAGATGATCTCGGACGGAGTTGAAGATGAAGAGAAATGGCTGGCAGCTGGAATCGCCGGCCTCCAACAGAACGCCTTCTATATGCACCGAGCTCTGGTAACTACTTCAATCAATCAATCAAACAAACCCTCGATCTTCTTCCCTCCAATTTTCTACCAATTTTTTTGTTCGCTGAAAATTCAGTGAAATTGTTTTCCTTGGTTCAAATTTTCTGCAAATTTTTCAATCAGGACTCGAACAATCTCAGAGACGCGCTCAAGTACTCAGCTCAGATGCTGTCGGAGCTCCGGACCTCGAAGCTTTCCCCTCACAAGTACTACGAACTCTGTAAGTTCTGATTACTTCTCATCGATCCGGAGGGATTTGGAAATTGATTCTGCTTCGTTTTTGCATTTTCGTAAATGCCGAATGTTTGCGAGTTTGTGGATGGTGATTTCACTGATTTGTGGTTTGAATTGCCTCAGATATGCGGGCGTTTGACGAATTGAGGAAATTGGAAATGTTCTTCAAGGAGGAGGCTCGGCGCGGCTGCTCCATTATCGATCTCTATGAGCTTGTTCAGCACGCCGGCAACATATTGCCTAGATTGTAAGTCTTAATTATGTTAATTAATCTTCAGTTGCACATGTATCAATTGCTTTATTTAGGTTTTGACTTCGTAGTTCACTTAAAGTCCCCGGGAGATAATCCAATTTGTGCTGCACATAATTTCATTCTTACCTAGTTGGCATTGCGGTCGTATTCCTTCAGATACTGTAATTCTGTTTGTAAATCGTTAACATGCTGCAATTTGAAAAGTTCCCTAATACTAAACCTTATCGAAAAAAACCCAAAATTAAGCAGAAATTACAATTCATGATTTGATCTATTATCAATGTCTTTGTATTGTAGATTTATACAATTATGAGTTGGACGCTATGTCCTTTCAGGGTGTTCCTTTGAGTGCATTGAATTTATCTTAAGTGAAGAACAAGGCATAGCTACAGCATTTCTGTGGCTTATATGTGAATTTTATGATCTCTATTAGGTATCTTCTCTGTACAGTAGGTTCTGTGTACATCAAATCTAAGGAAGCTCCTGCTAAGGATGTCCTAAAAGATCTCGTTGAAATGTCCCGTGGCATTCAGAATCCTGTACGTGGGCTGTTCTTAAGGAGTTACCTTTCTCAAGTGAGTAGGGACAAATTGCCTGATATTGGTTCTGAATATGAAGGGTAAGGAAATCAGATATTCATTCATTCCTATGTTTATTTTCTGTGTATGATCGTATTCTTTCATTTGATTCAATCTGATTTGTCAATAATCCTTAACTTGCGCAGAGATGCCGACACTGTCAAGGACGCTGTTGAGTTTGTGCTCCAAAATTTCACTGAGATGAACAAACTTTGGGTGCGGATGCAACATCAGGTTGGTTGTTACTTATATACAGAGCTCTCAGGTTTAGACATGCATGGGTACCGCAATGCTTGCATGTCATGAAGGTAAAAATATGTCATGAGGGCATGCTTTCTGGTCATGCAGGTGTTGTAGTGCTTTTGAATCATTCATACTCTTAGCTGATCCTGAGTTGAGGCTTGCTCTCCGGCTTTCTGGTCTGCAGGGTCCTGCCCGGGAAAAGGAGAAACGGGAGAAAGAAAGAAGCGAGCTACGTGATCTTGTAATATCAGTAACTGGTAGCTGGTTGATTTCACTGCTATATTGTTGTGCGCGTATGCAGTGTACACTTACAGAAGGCTTCTCTATGTCTGTTGTTCCTTTAGGTTGGTAAAAACTTGCACGTCCTAAGCCAGATAGAAGGTGTTGATTTGGATTTGTACAAAGAGACCGTGCTTCCCAGAGTCCTGGAGCAGGTCCGATTGATGCTGTTTTATCTTTAATCGATCCTTTAATGTTTATGATGTGTAACTTCCACCTCTTAACCACAAAAAATGGCTTCATCACCTTGCATTTTTTAACAGGTTGTCAATTGTAAGGATGAGATTGCACAGTTTTATTTGATGGATTGCATAATTCAAGTCTTTCCCGATGAGTACCACTTGCAAACTCTTGACGTATTGTTGGGTGCTTGCCCCCAACTTCAGGTCGGTAACATTATATGCACAAATTTTATTAATACCCTGTGTTGTTTTTTTATTCATGTCACTTTTCTTCTATTTTGCATTATGGGGTTTTGTGCATTGATCTTTTGAAACTGAAGGTGCTTTTGTCATTTGTTCTGGTTTTGGAGTTTATGTACCTTCTTATTGTAAGAGATTTTTCATGTTGTTTTATGACTTGTTGCACTCATTTTAAGCCACATGGAATGCTTTGAATGTTTCATAGGAAGATGCATGGAGCATCATGTCTCCGAGAATTTATACATGGAATGTTGCATTTGTGAGCAGCCTCTCCATAAATGGGGGTAAGGCTAGCCGACATTCACCTCTCCCAGACCCTGCGTAAAGCGGGAGCCTTGTGCACTGGGTACGACCTTTTAATGTTGCATTTGTGTTTTGCCTCATATATAAAATCAGTTAATGATAGTTAAATAGTTTATGGGGGTATACTCTTAATCTTGGAAAACCTTTTGTCTTTTGTTTGAAATTTGATTAAGAATGTTAGATAACTTTGTATTTTGTGTGTTCATAATATTTATCATCGTATTTTTAATTTATTACATTTCTCTGCCATTCTTGTCTAATTTCATTTTTTGTTTCAGCCATCTGTTGATATTAAGACAGTTCTATCCCAGTTAATGGAAAGACTTTCAAATTATGCTGCTTCAAGTACAGAAGTATTGCCTGAGTTTTTACAAGTACAAGCTTTTTCAAAACTGAGCAATGCTATTGGAAAGGTAATCTTAGTGTATAATAAATTGATGATTAAGTTCAGGGTTGTGCCATGCTTTAATTATCTCTTTTCATATCTACTATCACCAAGTGGTTGCACATAGAGCTTTTTTGTGACCTTGTTTGTCTGCAGTATAAGTACATATAACTGTAAACCTAGTGTTCATTGCATCTATATGCTTTCCTGTCTTGATATTTGTGTTTTTGTTTGCATTCGTATTGATACTTAAACAATATGCCAATGCAGGTGATTGAAGCCCAAGTTGACATGCCTATCATCGGTGTTGTCACTCTATTCATCTCTTCTTAAATTCACCCTCCATGTGCACCCTGATCGACTTGATTATGCTGATCAAGTGTTGGTATGTTTCCTGGACAAACTTTTCTTAACATAATTACGCTCAGTTCTATCGTCTATGCGCATCAAAGTTATACCAAGTGAAATGGATTTTATTGGTCAAATTGTATGTGGCCCGAAATTGGGTAGTCCAACCTTTGCAAATTTTTCTTTGCATATACATTGGATGAACCCTAACTTTCCACACTATTCTATACATGTATAATCCAGTAAAGTCTGTTCTTGTAAATAAATTTCTTGTGCTGCTAGTCTGGTGGCACAGATTTGATTTATCTTATCATTTAAATTGATCTATCAATATATATATTGTTCTATAAAAGGTCACCACATATGTAATTATTTCCATTTATTTTCTTTTCATCAGGGCTCATTTGTTAAGAAACTCTCTGGAAAAGGGAAAATTCAAGACAGCAGGGCGACAAAACAAGTGGTTGCACTTTTAAGTGCTCCACTTGAGAAATATAATGATATTGTCACGGCTTTGAAGCTTACAAATTATCCTCGCGTCCTGGAATTCCTTGATAGTGGAACAAATAAAGTCATGGCTACTGTTATAATTCAGAGCATTATGAAAAATACAACTCATGTTTTAACTGCTGAGAAGGTATGCTTAACTCATGGTTTGTCCTTTCCACTGAGTTTGCTTCTTAATGACATGGAATGCAATTTTTACAGGTCGAGGCTTTGTTTGAATTAATAAAAGGACTTATTGAGGATTTGGATGGGACTCTTAATGATGAGGTAATTTCTGTGTTATAGATCATACATTTATTGATGATAGTAAAGCTCCTCTGTAGGCTTCCACAATATGTGCATTTTCTTCTGAATCCATACACTTGAGGTGTGAGCGTATCTTCTCTTTCAACTCTAGGTTGATGAAGAAGATTTCAAGGAGGAGCAAAATTCAGTTGCACGACTTATTCAAATGTTTTCTAATGATGATCCTGAAGAGATGTTTAAGGTATTGGATATATTTGAGTATAGTATTCATGTGCCTATTTCTTATGTCTGCATACCTTCTGTCTTTATAATCTTACCTTACAAGAGTATCCGAGAGGATTTCTCAAGTATTTAATTCTGGAGTCTTCCTGAGTTATACTCGAAGTTTTAATTGAGTCATAATTAATTGTTTTCTCATGTTTCTGTACTAATATATGGAAAAATGTTACAAGCACTTAAAAACGATTTTTGCATTTTGAACTGATGTCACAGTGAGTTTTCATGCTTTGATTTCATTCCACCCCACCCCTGCTTATGGGATACTGGTCCTAGTGTTGGCAGACATGGCAATATCACTCATGGAAAATTCATTTTGTGTATATATTTTAGAACTTGAAGTACATGTAGATTACTCTTTGTATATTGATTTTTCTATCTCAAGAGATTTTGCATGAACTGGAGCACCATTCATCCCTAATGTTTGCCACAATTCGTGCGCTGAATTGCAGATCATATGTACTGTGAAGAAGCACATCCTGGTTGGAGGACCGACGCGTTTGCCCTTTACTGTCCCTCCCCTAGTTTTCTCTTCTCTAAAGGTTTGCTTCTGTCTATCCAAATCATGTTAGCAGCTGGACACATTATGTGTTGATGCTAGTCAACTTTTTTATTTTTGTCGATTTGTTGTTGAAATTTCTCAAACTAATTTGGTGTGAGTAATGGAATTGGTGGTCTTTTTGGCAGTGTTCGTCTGATTTTATTTGTTATGTGCAGTTGGTTAGGAAATTGCAAGCCCAGGACGAGAATCCATTTGGAGATGATGCATCAACCACACCAAAGAAAATTTTTCAGCTCTTGACTCAGGTAAATGCTAGTGAAAGCTTTCAGAAAGCTCGCATTACGTATATCCTACACAGTTTGAGCATAGACTTTGATCTTTCTAGCTATTGAGTAACACTTCTGGTTTATTGTTTTAGACTATTGAGGCTTTGTTGAATGTTCCAGCACCTGAACTGGCATTACGGTTATATTTGCAATGTGCTGAGGTACATTGAAGTGTTCGGTTTTCAAATAAAAGGCACGACCTAAAGAATGTTATCCCTAATTTTAATGCCTATTGTTTTCATTAATTAGACTGCAAATGACTCTGATTTGGAACCCGTTGCCTATGAATTCTTCACCCAAGCATATATTCTTTACGAAGAAGAAATTTCAGTAAGTTCCCCCCCTACTTGGGAGCTAATCCTCTTTGGTTGCCTCTTTGCATGTTCCATTTTTTTTAAGATTTCAATGGAACAATGGATTGTATCTACTCTTTCCTTTTTGAATACGGGATTATTTCTAATATTTTTTGTTTGCATGAATTTTGTGTAATAGGATTCGAAAGCACAGGTGACTGCCATTCATCTGATAATTGGGACTCTCCAGAGGATGCATGTATTTGGCGTTGAGAACAGGGATACTTTAACTCACAAAGCCACAGGGGTAATCATAATTTCGTTAGTTATAATGCTGCCTGTCTGTTTCTACTGAAAACCTTACTTAATGCCTTGTCTTTGACCAGTATTCGGCAAAGCTTTTAAAGAAGGCTGATCAGTGCCGAGCTATATATGCTTGCTCGCACCTCTTCTGGGTCGACAATCAGGAGAGCATGAAGGATGGAGAAAGGTGTGTTGTATTAACATTTGGCTTCTATACTAAACCCATTTAGTTGTGCTTATGGCTGTGCAAGTCATGTCAGTTTTCTTTATTGTACCGAAAGGATATGTTCACGGTGAAAGAACTGTATGAAGGACAGTTAGGAGTTAAGTGGAAATGGACAGAGGAGTGAAAGGATGGTTTCTGAGTATAAGAATCTTAGCGGAGCCATTCCTTGGTTCATACTTTGAAACTGCTATCGTTCTGTTTGGTTATAATTCGTTTTAATTTTCTTTTACTTGCTTGCTATCCAGGGTACTGATTTGCCTAAAGCGAGCTTTACGAATCGCTAACGCTGCCCAACAGATGTCCAATGCTACACGGGGTAGCACTGGTTCAGTAACGCTCTTTGTTGAAATACTGAACAAGTAATAGTTGCTGACACCAGAGCCGATTTTTTCTGTTTATTATTCTGTTTCTTCTATTGCGGAAGGAGAAGGCCTTACTTTGTTGTGTTTTCAGGTACCTCTATTTCTTCGAGAAGGGGAACCCACAGATAACAGTTGCTTCAGTCCAAAGCCTGATTGAATTGGTCACAACTGAACTGCAAAGCGACTCGGCCTCAGCAGAGCCATCTACAGATGCTTTCTTTAAAAGCACACTGCGGTACATTCAGTTCCAGAAGCAGAAAGGTGGTGCAGTTGGTGAAAGATATGAGTCCATCAAGGTGTGACATGCTGCGAAGTGAATGCTTGTTATTAATGCGAGAGCTGCAGGTAAGTTTGCCTTGGTGGATGCTAGGAACCGATTTCATCCTTTTTGACGTCGTTTCGTTGAGAGAATAGATTGTATGCTTTATCCTCCCTGATGCTGAATTTTCCTCCGAGACCGGTGGGTCTAATAGGACGTTTGCTTTGGGTAATCACTCGTCGAGGAATTCTGTATGCTGATTGTGTTACTGCAATGGTACAAATGTACGACATATATTTGAATTTGAATCTACTTCGATCAGAACCAACCACATCTTTCTTCAGGCTGTTTGAAACCACACCACCTCTGTCGTATCTTCTACTCGGAGTTCTGTTCATCCCCGAGCATTGTTTCTTCGAAACCGTTTTTTTCGAAGATTCGTTGGGTTTGTTTTTCCAGTTTAATTTCTTGCAATTGTTCCATGAAAAGTACTGGCATGGATCTCTGGTCTGGTCATTGTTTCGTTGCAAGCGTTAGTTTAAGGGTCTGCTCATTTGGCGGGGAAAAGATATCTAAAGCCATTTCTCTAATTTTTTTCCCCTTCTAATATAACAGCACATTTACACCAAGAGGATTCGGGACTTAAGATCTGCCACACAATGGACAAGCTATAATAATTTGGTTTGAACTCATCTTCGATGAAATTTGAAACTAAGACCTCACAAGTGAAGAAATACCAGAAAGAATTACTATTGCACCATAGTACTAAATTTACAACGCCTCCCACTAGCTTTTGAAACTTGAAAGTACATTATTTTTTCAAGGACAATTGGCTACAACTTGGGCTTAGAAGGACACCTTGCTGAACCAAACCACCAGTTCCTCAAACTTAGCCCACCAATATTTGCTATTAATCAACCGAGTAGCGATTTTGACACTCCTCTTTTATAACTTACCAACAGGACGAGTGCAGGAAGCTAAAAGATGAGCGTTACAAAACAACTAGCCTAATAATCTCATGCGAAGCGATGCATTGTGTTGAGGCAAACCACAAAAATGAAAACTAAACGCATACACCAATTTTTAGTTGTGACGGGAACACAAGTGGTACACGTGTTTTAATATGAATGGTGAGAAATTGTATTTTTTAAGGTATTAACTTTTTAGCACATATATCCTACCATTTGTTTAGTGACACGTGATGCACTACCCCGTGTACCAGTCACACTGACAAATCTCTCCAAGCCTTCAAGCACACCAGACGGTAATAGTATTACTGTATCAATGCAAAGCGAGGTCGTCTTCCTAACTGGGAGTCCAGTCTATTAAAACAATATACGAAAATCAAAACCGGAGTTAAGAAAAAGTTGCCAACCATAGAATTCAACAATTAAGGGATCACAACAGTTCCAAGAATGCAACACCAAACCACCTGATGCTTTCACAGAGAGATCCATACGATCGTCAAACGCGACAACTTACTGACTCCAACTTCTTCAGGACAAAAAGGGAAAAACGAGATTTAGGGAACAAGGGGGTGTGAGGGAGTACACGCAGGATGGCTGGTCATTATCTCTTTACACCTATTTTCCAAATCACAATATGGAGCATGCCTTCCCCTTGCCGCCTTCCTTTTCTTCTGCTTCGGAGGTTGAAGGACAACCCTGATGGCTGCATCAAAGACCCCTTTCACATTCTGCAGTCGCAAGCACACGGCATAAGTCACAGTTCAGGCATGAAAAATACCCCCTCATAAGACCAACTCCAATGGTGGGCTAAAAGCCAAATTACCCCCCAAAATTTCCCCCCAAACCCACTCCAACCCAAGGCGAAAATTTGGGCTAAATGCTAAATGCTAAACCAAGGCCAAATTCCCCCCAAAATTTAGCCCAGAAATCGGAATTTAAATTTTTCAATATTTATCGGAATTTAAATTTTTTTAGATTAAAATGTTCATAAAATTAATTTACGATAATCTACATATTTTTTTTTAAAAATTTAATTTAACAAAAAAAAAGCCTAAGTTCATTCTTTAATAATCATGGGCTAAAATTTTAGGCTAGAACGGTTGAAACAAAAAAACTGTTTCTGGGCTAAAAGCTAAATTTTCCAGGCTAAAATATTTAGCTTTTAGCCCAACCATTGGAGATGGTCTGATGCAATAGATAATATAAATACCTGCTGAGTTTTTGAACTGCACTCGATGTAAGCTGGTGCTCCAATTAGCTTCCTGAGCTCCTCTCCCTACAACGGTAGAGATATAAATCTTAATTATAAGGAAGAAGAAAAGATGATAAGGCACAGGGATGGTCAACAAAGACAAGAACGTTACTTGAGCGGTAGTAATTGGGACAGCACCAGGATGGTCAATAAAGAACTGCTTGTCGTCCCGAAGATCTGGCTCATTAAATTTTTATGATAAAAGAACAATAAGAAGGGCCCTCCTTAAAGACATTTCGCAGTTAGAACTATCATTGAATAAAAACACCCAATGTGTTCAAACAAAGGGCCCATTATCTCAAGATTTATCTACGGTTGAGGAATAAGATTTAATAAAGCGGCCGAAACTTTTTTTACATATCTACAAAGTAGAAAGATAAAAATTTTACCAAGCTTTGTTCCAACGAGAATGATCGGAACACCAGGCGCATAATGCTTCAATTCCGGGATCCACTGGAAAGGAAATCAATATATTTGAGATTCATCATCAGATCATCAAGGTAAAGACAGAACAGTCATAATCAGTAGCACATTTTGTACACATACATCCCATATAGCAAAATCTCACCTTCTTGGACACATTTTCATAGCTGGCTTTGCTGATGAGAGAGAACGCCAGTATAAACACATCAGCGCCACGATAACTCAAAGGTCTTAATCTATTGTAATCCTCCTGTCCTGTTGCATAAAAAATAAATTCAGACCTCAAACACATATATGCATACAACCCCTAGTCAACAAAAACCGAAGTGACAATGCAAATTTACCAGCTGTGTCCCATAGCCCCAGGTTAACAGTGCTCCCATTCACGACCACGTTTGCACTGAAATTGTCGAAAACAGTTGGCACGTAATCCTGTTTTCCACCACAATACGGAATAAAGTTATAAACCGTACATCATAACGACAAATGATCACCCCTTCCTTTCAAGTTATAAACCTTAACAATATGAAATCACAAACAACCACATTGCAAAAAGTTTGGAAGTTCAGACATTCTAGGGAGAAAAGATTTAAAATTTCATCAAATAACATCTTATAGGCAGAATAGCTAAAGCAAAATCCCAAAAATCTAAAGAACTCCTATAAAACACCTTAATCCAAACATCCGAGGAATTAAATCAAGAGTAGAAAAAGAATTTAAAAATCCCAAATAACCCACTTATTTTCAAACCTTTCACATTTGATTGCCCCTCCAAAAAAGGGGCAATTTTGACAAAAATTAATACCATTCCAATTATTTGCACCCAATGCTTTCCTAAAACAGTCAAATATCGTCAGCAAGATTGAGCTAAAAATAATATAAAATCAGTGAATAGCACCACCAGAAACAAAAGGAACAATAAAAAACATATTCAAAGCATTCGGCATCAAACTTCCCCAGAACTAAAAAAAAAAAAAAAAAAAAAAAAAAAAAAACCAATTAAAAGCAATAAATCAATTACCAAATGCATTCCACCTATTGCAACAATGGCGCACTAAATTAAAATTCCCAAAAAAGGAAGGGAAATTAAAGCGAATTGGGAATTGGGGAATTCAAGACTTACGGTGGGGAAGGTGTTGCTGGTGTAGGAGATAAGCAGACACGTCTTGCCCACAGCCCCGTCCCCAACCGTGACGCACTTTATGAACCTGGACGCGCTCATTTTCTCTCTCTCTCTCACTTTCTCGAGAAAAACCCAAGCCCCAGATCTTCGAACCTGAGGACCCGATCTTCTTCTTCTCCTTCCTCCTCCTCCTCTTCAATTACACATCTGTGGCGCGATCGAAATCCGGACGATTCACGACGAAACCTAACCCTAATTCTGGCAAATGGGGGGGGGCAATCGAGAGAGAAAAGAGAAGAAAAAGATTGGGGGAGTTCGGAAGGGGAAAATTGGAAGGAGAAAAATGGGCGAATGTGGGTCTTGTGCGGGGGTCTGGAAGCTCCACGGAAGAGAAAAGAGGAGAGATAGCGAGACAAAAATGGCGGACTATTTTTTTGGCCGCGAATTTTATTTGCCGTTGAAGCGTTCGTTGAGCAACAAACTCTCCAACTTAGCTGCGAGTCTGTGACTGAGATTCTCTCTCTCCTCTGTCTCTCTCCCCTCTTTCTCTCTCCTCTCTGTTTTTCTTTCTTTCTGCGCTCTAATCGCGAGGAAGTTGGGTCCGGTTATATGTGTGTGGGTCGGATTTTTGAGGTTTTTTTTTCAAAAGATTTTTGAGGTTGGTGGGGATGAAAAGTGAAATGAAACAAAGGGATTTATTTTTCTTGTTGTGATCTTAAGTCTTGTCTGTGTGATTTTAATTTTTACCCCTTTAATTTGGAAATCGATTATCAATTTAAGGTAATTCGGGATTGGTTCGCTACTATCCACGTGGAATTGTTCCACAATTTTTGTTTATGTTGTTGGCCTTGGAGAGTTTGACGTGTTATGTTGCTGGATTGTCGTTATGGCTAATTAGTTGGAGATTCTTATTTTGGTTTGTATTCCAGATACAAAGTATGACACGATATAAAACATCAGATGTATGCGAAAGAAACCTGGCTCGCTTGGTATATTCGTACATAAGAGTCTAATTGTCCGCATAGTAGTGTTTTTGCAAATTCTGACATGTTATGTTATCATCATGTCAATCTTTCCCAATAATTCGTGACAAAGAAATAATCACAACCCAAGTTTGATGAGGATGATTAGTAGAGATAATCATAAATAGATAAGAATCCTTTCACATCTAGTCTCATGGATTTTTAATTGGATTCTTGTTTTCAAGAAGAGTTATTTTTGTGCTATGCATAATTTTTTTTTTTCTTTTTTATTTATGGGATCAGAGTGAGTCTTAGTCAACGGAAAGGTTGCTCTTTTGTAACAAAAAAATCACTAGTTCGAATCGTGGAAATAACTTCATTGCAACGTAAAGGTAAGGCTGCATATTAGATGTTTCTCCTGCAACCCTTGCTTTGCAAAGAGCCTTGTTGGCTTGGGGCCGTCCTTTTAGTTTATTAGATCACAATGATGGTGATATGTTCTAATTGTCAATTAGTTGACGATTATTTTGGCCTTAACCTAACTGTACTTGATTTGAGCGATACTAACATGTGAAATTATTGTATGGTACTATAATACTATCACACGATATAACGTTATACTCGTATCTTAACATGTGCTTTAAATATTGATATATTAGATGAAAACTACCGTACCAACTTATGCTTGCCAATGAATGTGTGGTAGAAGAGGTGGTTGGAATTTGATAGAGTATATAATTTACATGACAGCAAACCACATCAAACCCACAATACAAGAATAATTCCATGAAAAATTATTAATTTCTTGAGGTACAAGATAATTAACTAAGATTATGGAAAGTTTGGAGGCCTAATGGATTTGGTCTGAAAGGCTTTTTGGGCAATTTGAGATTTTTATTACAAACGTTATTATTATTTTAAACTACATCGATCATAAAGTATGAAAATAGTTTAAAATCAAGACGCAATAAACTGAATAGGAGGCTTTATTCGTCGGATTATTTATCAATTGCGACCAAATTGATATTAAATATTGAAATTTTAAGGAAAAGTATATATTTTGAAACATCCACTTACGTTGTAAAATCGGAGTAGAGTTCTCTTCCCTCCTAATTTTTCTCTCAATCTCCCTTCTCTCCCCTCTCCTCCTATTTAAACGGTTATAATTAAGTTATATCAATTGTGTTGACTTTTTTTTTATAGAAAGAGCAAAACAGAGAGGAAAGTGTGAGAGAATGAGAGGGAATGATAGGAGATTAGGAGGGATTACGAGGGGGAAGAATTAAATATGATTAGGGCAGAATCGGCAGATTGGACAGAAGATCTTCTGGCGATGCCAAAGCTGTCTGTCCTCCTCCAATGACATTATGGAACAGTTGCATTGCCACCTTAAAAGTACAGGGCAGCAATGTTTATCCAATTTTGGAATTTGAATTGCAAGGCTGGAAAGAAAAAGGCCAAAACTACTCATCTAGCATAGAAAAGCTTATATGCAACCCAGACGATAAGGGTGTCATTGATTTGAGTTTGTCCCACATGGTTATGTATTTTAACTTATTTATAAGGCATTGACTAATTGGTTTGAGATTTAACTACTTCGAAATTCCAGTTGCATGTAAGTTCTTCTCCATTTGGCTGATAAGAGGTATAAAAAGAAACGAAAAAATAATGGTCGTGGCTATTTCTAAGTGATTCGATGAAAAGCTGAGATCAAATACTTTCATGACGTCAAGGTAAAGGTGCTCCAACCAAATCATGCAATGCTATATGGAAAACTTAAATCACGTGACATAATGTTAAAAACCGGGATGTTGAGTGTTGTTTAAGGTTAAGGAGTTCCTTGAAAAATTGGAACTAGAAAAGAAGAGAAGAGCTTGGCTTCTTAAGGTTAAAGAGTTCCTTCTCAAAATACTTTGTGGCCTACTCACAAACTATATGCTTACGATCAAAATCGTTCATATTATAAATCACCATGTAAAGATCTACTTTGTAAAACATCAATAAAACTAAGATCGTTTAGTTGATCACCTGTAACAAATAGATAGACGGTTCGTAATTCTTTTACCCAATCCGTTTATCTATTTTTATACATTCCCATGACTAAACAACCTTAGTTTTAATTAATTTTTGTATAGATAATCTTTACATAGTATGAGTGATTCCGATCAGAAGCACAAAATACTGTGGATATATAGGGTCTTGAGGTATTTTAGAGAGGAGGTCCTTGAGGAGCCAAGTCTTTCTCAGAACTTGCATATATTACATTCACGATTTCCATAAAAGAAGCAAGAGTTGAATAAATGGTTTCCCATGCTTACTGTAAATACAACAGTTTCTAAAATTACAACTTGGTCTGCCAATAAATTTAGGGGAAGCTAAGGGCATCTAAAACATAGGGGCAAAGTACACGGACAAGTGGACGACTAAAATACAAAAACCACGAAACGCAGGTGAGGAACTAGCACACATCTAGTGCGGATCATCAGCACTTCCAAAATGCATGGAGTGTGTTTCGTCGAGGGCCTTTCTATCATATTCGCCGGTGAAGACACAGTTTCCCAAAGGACCTTTCTGAAGGTCTGAGCCTTAGTAACCCATCAGCTACCTTCTTATCAACCTGCCATGCCGAAAGAAGACGGATGCATTAACAAACAAGCAAAGAAGTTACTGAGCTTCTATGAACTTACACTGCCATTCTCTTACCGCCATTACAGGTCTGAACATCTCGATCATCACAGATTCAGCAGGTGCAATAGGTAACTTGGACTGCTTAAAAATGTTGGTAGTTCGCTTCACGAGTGCATCATCAATCCAGACAAGGCGGTCACCTAGCACACAAGCTCTTAAAACATTGAGGAATAATTTTGTAAGGGAAAGAAGTGTACATGCATAAATGTCTTACCGTGCCAGCTGCAACAGCTTCTCCATGGAGCCAGTTCCCATTGCCGACCCCAGTTTCTTTTGCCTGAAAATACATCGCATTTCATCCGAAATATTTAATTAGATAGGGGATTTAACAGAATATAACAAAAGGCGAAGATAACTTGTCAAAGTACATAGGCTTTCAACACCTAATTGTACAAAACAAAAACTCATATGACCAAATGTATGACCCAAATTCAGTATAGCCCTCACTCCACTTTCATTCTCGTCCAAGGACAAGCTCAGCCTTGATTTCACACGACCGCTTTATAGCATAAGCCAATGCCGCTGGATCCCTGCATGCACCAACTATACTCAATGTAACTAACCTAATATGCATCCTGTGCAGGAACGAGATTATTCACGAAGCTTCAACAGACTAGAAAAGATAAAATGGCGACATTGTTACAGCCTTAAAGTCATAACCACTGGCAGTGACAAGACTCTCTCTTAATTTGATGTCCCGTAACATTTATCATGTGAAATAGAACATGAATTGAAAGGAATATGCAGCATGGTGCTGGCTCCAGAAACTTTTTGCTGTTACTTACTCTCGGTGTAAATTTCATACCTTGCCATTATTGCCTGAATATTCCTCTCCTGCCCTTCAAAGAAATCTGCATCTCTAACAAGCCCACACTTAATGGCCTCCGCAAGCCCTGATGCCAGTTCCCGATCTGGTAATGTGTTCAATGTGTCTGTGTCAATAAGCGTACACCGAGGTTGGTAAAAAGAACCGATCAAGTTCTTCCCAAGAGAGTGGTTTATAGCAGTTTTTGTTGGAAGCTAACCAGCTCCTGGAGTCGGGGAGTCGAAGGCAGCAAGATACTCCCGAGCAAAAGGATGTCATCTGCATCGAAGAAGAAGAAAGAAAATGAAGGGTTCTAGTCTCCAACGGCTAGTTTTGTTTTTTAAATGTTTGTGTAAGTGTGTGAGTGACAAGTGTACACTCCAGATTAAATCATTTAACCCCAAAATGAAGGGTTAAGATGTAATCTGGAGTAGTAAGGCTTAATGGTTGTTAAAGCCTCTTGTCAATCACCTTTTGTAGAAAGTATGGGTGATGGAAATGCACCATACTCTTGTGTAAAAAAATCACTCTACTTATTCAATTAAGTCTGCTGCATTATTTGCATAGCAGAAACCAATCTCCAAGTTATCTTTTTCAATTTCTCTACTATCCTACCTAAAAGAAACCGATTCAAACACTCAATCAAAGACACAAAAAGAAACAAACTTTATCATGGCCTCAGAGCTTTGTTATTGATCTTACAACTTTCGGGGCGTAATCTGTGCAAGATAAGATCTTTGGGAGCACCAACGTAGTGTCTTCTATAACAATAATCAACAAACAATTCTGGAAATGAAAGGATCCAGCAGTAGCAGTGAGCTAAAAGCTCCAGTCTTTGATGGGGAGAATTATGATTTTTGGAGAATAAGAATGACAACCATTTTCAAATCCTATGATCTATGGGATATATGGTTCAACATGGGTATGAACTACCTGAGATGGAGATCGATGCTCTAGAGGAGGATCTCACAGAAACACAACTCAAAACACTGAAGCAGAATCGGATGGAGGATGCTAGAGCACTTGGAATCATTCAAGGTGCTGTCTCAGACACCATTTTTCCGAGGATAGCAAATGAAGAGACTGCAAAGGGAGCTTGGGAAGTTTTTACAGCAAGAATACAGAGGAGACACCAAAGTTAGAAAGGTAAAACTTCAGTCCCTTAGAAGAGATTTTGAGTATACAAGAATGAGGGAAAATGAGCTGTTAAA